CCCGCTTCCTGTGTTGCTGTTGCTGCAGCATCATCTGCTTCTTGTGTTGCTGCAGCATCATCTACTTCTTGTGTTGCTGCAGCATCATCTGCTTCTTGTGTTGTTGCTGCTGCAGCATCATCTGCTTCTTGTGTTGCTGCTGCTGCAGCATCATCTTCTTCTTGTGTTTCTGCTGCTTCATCTTCTCCTTCTGCTTCATCATCCCCTGACCAAGAGAGACGTGCAGCGGTGATGGTTTCCTTTACAGCTTTTTCTATCAATTTATGTCGTTTATGAGGGTCTTCAGTTTCTGCTGCTTCTTCTGCTGCTGCTGCTGCTGCTTCTGCTGCTGCTGCTGCTGGGTCTGTTGCTGGATCCCCTCTATACTGAGGCTTCGGGCTTCCTGTTACCTCCATGATAGCTGCTGCAACCTCTACAAGTGAATCTACTCGTCTCTGTGCTTCTCTTTTTGCTTCTTCTGTTTTTGCTGTTTCTGCATCTGCTGCTGCTATTGCTGCATCTCCTATTTCAGGGCTTGGTGCTGCTGCTGCAATTGCATCCTTCTGCAGCAAGTCTTCTAATACAGCATGTCTTACTCCTTGATGTATAAAAACAGATGAAGAAACAAAAGCATCAACAGCAGCAGCAGCAGCACGCAGAGTTTCTGCTGCTTTTGCATCCTCTGCTGCAGCACTCTGGCGATCCTCTTGCGTTTGTATGTTTTTTAAATCAGCTGCTTGTAGTATACTCGTACCCACAACCTTTTCTAGTGCTGCTTCGCTTACCTTTTCTGCTTCTGTTGCTAGCTGCTGCAGCATCACCAACATCTCCACCTCTACCTGTAGCTGCCATGCAGCAGTACGTCTTTCAGCTAGCTTTCCTGCTGCTGCTGCTGCTGTATCGATTGCCTCTAGAACCCCCTCAAATCCTTGCTGCTGCACCCCCTGCGAATGCATGTCATCTAAAAGATTTTCAACTTTCCCTCTTTCTGCTTCTGTTGCAGCCATCAATTCCTTGAGTTTCTCTTTGTTGCGCTTCAGCAGCGCAGCAGAAACCCACCGAGATCCTTCTAGGCTTACTAGCTGCAGCTCACAACGAACNACTAGCTGCAGCTCACAACGAACAGCAACTTCCTCTACATGTTGAGCTGTATCTTCTGCTGCTGCAGAAAACCCCTTACTTTGCTCGGTTACATGTTCAGGCTGCTGATCTATCGGCAGCAGCTGCTGCACAGGTTTCGCGATGAGCTGCTGCTGCACTGCTTCTGCTAGTTTTTGTTCTTCTTCTCCTGTAAATGCAGCTCGAATATCATCTACAAATTCTCTCAGTGCAATAGATAGATGATCTGCTGCTTCTTCTGCTGCTTCTGCTGCTGCTTTCGCTTCCCTTAGATCCGTACATTCACGCAGCACGCCTAGCTGCTGCATCAGAGCAGCAAGAGTTTCCTGTAAGTTTTGATGCCTAAGATGCCATTTTCTTTCTAATTCTGAGACTTCAGGTGTATATACACCGGCAGCATGAACCTCTTTGGCTGCTTGCAATAGTAATGTTGCAGCGTGTTCATGTGCAGAGATTTGTATTGCTTTCATTTCAAGTTCACCTAGAGAATGATTTTTATATAAAAGCATCGTACTTTGCTGCAATTGTTCTGCTGCTGATGTTCCTGTTTCTTGTAGTTTCGTTGATCTTCTAATAAATTCAACTGCAGCACGAGAAGCAACAAGCCGTCGCTGCAGCAGATGCTGCTGGTGTTTTAGTAGAGGACGGAAATTCATTAGCTGATGCATGTTTGCTGCTGCTTCTTCTTTTTGTGATTCTACACAACGTTTTGTAATACCAAAGGCGTTATTCCATCCTCCTATATATTCTTCATCTGCTGTACCCTCAAGAACAGGACCTGAAAGACTAACAAATGCAGATTTTGCTGCATC